TACGTGCTCAAGACACAAGATGACCACACGTGAACAAAAACCAAGCAACTCAGGCAATATCCAATGCCCTGGGAGTCCAGAGCAGGGGCTGATAAAAGAGACCTGGAGGAAGCGAGGAAGCTGAGGAAAGAGGGGTGGGGCTTCCAGTGGGACACTGTGGAGGGGAGCGGGGGAGGGTCTGAGCTCAGGAACTCAGGCTTATGCAGACGCAGGATGGCGTGGTGTTTGGCTGCTTGCAAGGAATGGAGGGTGTTCGCTGAGCACAGGGAACACTGTTGGCTGGGTGGGGAGAGGTCAGATTATTGCGGTCTGGTCTGTTCCCTCCATTTATTATGATCCATTCAACAACCTGGGAAATTGTTACCGTTCTAAGATACCGTTCTCTTACTTTAGAAGAAACAGACACATCTTCCAAGATGCAGAAGGCTCCTTTGGCTGTAAACACACACAAGAGCACCTTGCTCATCTAGGACACTTAGAGGCCAAATATCCAAAACCTTAAATATCCAGACTGGGAGGGTGTGAGGGGGTTCAGAAGAAAAGATCATGAGCCGCTAAATTAATGCCGAGAGCTCCGTGCTCTGTTGCTCTTCCCCTCGGTCCCTTTGGGACCACTCCCCATCCTTACTCTGCTGTGGCCTGGCTGGCTGAGGCCAACTAAACAGAAATGCCAGCCCTGCTTCTGCACTGGCTTGGTGCAAAGCTTAGACCCCAGAACCAAAACATCTCAGTAGACAGCAAGACCTCCCCAAACAAAATTGATAACGCATAGTAAAAGTAACAAGGAGTCCCAAGAGGAAGGCTGCAAGAGGCAGTCATACTCATAACAGGAAGTGAAAGTGGGCATATCGATAGAAAATAGTCCCTAATTTTCCCATGAAAAAGTACAAACATGTGGATACAATTGCTAACTCATCATGCATCTACATAAACAAGGCATAGCAATCTTGCAAAGTATTATTATCACAGTTTTGCAGATGAGGAAACTGAGGCCGGAGAAGTTTAAAAGGTCAACAAAAATTCAAATCTAAATCTGTCTGTTCCAAATATGACATTACCTGGCCTCTGTCACAAAAGTGAAGTTTAGAAATATTAATAGAAGCTTGAGTCATCAAGAAAAAAATTGACGCCCCTTAGTGTTGGTTTTATTGAAGAGGACAGGGAAGTGCGGCATGTGATTTAGAATGTTCTTTATCAGAAACTCTTTAAAAAAAGAACTTTCAGAATTTTAAAGGGGAATGTTTCAGTATTTAGAAATTCCAGTTAGATGGAGTGCCATTCTTCAATGATATATGGTAAATGAGATATTGTTGTCCTGAACATAACACATAAAATCTGTAGTGTAGACTTCCTTGTGAGGTTTTTAGGCTAAGAAATATTCTTTTAAGTCTTTTTAGGGGCTTTTGCACTTCCTGAAACCCATCTGGAAATGACTAGTTCTTAAAATTATCCAGCCTCTTGATTTTGGTTCTACGGTTGAGCTTCTGGGGTGGTGGGTGCCGGGCCTGTTTGAGGACTTATGAATCAGCTGTGTATCCTACGCAGGCGGGTGTTTTTAAAAAGACATACATTTTAAATTTTCAAAATGGAAAAAACCCTCAACTTTGTGTATGTGTTTCTAAAACCATAACACTGAGCCTGTGAACTGATGACTCAAAGGAAAGGCCTCTGTCTGCTGAAGCAGCAGCAGCCCGGCATCTTCCGCTCCGCAGGGAATGAAGTGGCTGCTCTCTGTCTGCCCAGACAGCCCTGAGTCCTGCCCTTTTGTCCCTCAGCCACAGGGGCCTGGCAGTGCCACAGCAGCCTCTGGTTTCCGCCCACAGCTGCTAAACAGACCCCAGCACAGCCTGTGGGTGCTCAGGGCTTGGATCCCTGCAAACGGCTGGAGGGAGGAGCCAGAGGAGGCTCAGCAGACATGGTGGCCTTGGACTGCACTGATTCAGGCAAGGCTGAGGCTCGTGAGTGAAGTTTTCCAAGCAGACAGCAAGCTTAGAGGGAACAAAACTAGCAAATGGCAGTTAGAGGAAAAGGTCTGTCTGGGGTTTACTCAGCAACAGCCTTGACCTTTGGGATGTAGATTTCAAGGTACAGGGAGCAAAGGGCCCAGGGGCCAGAGCCCAGGATAATCCTTATGTATCTAGGCCCTGTCCCCAGCCATGGGGCAATCTTTGCCGTTAGTCCTGCACACAGAAACAAGCGGGGAAAACCCGAAGGCCACGTGCTGAACACTGCCCTTTTGCCACAGCTGGGCTGGTCTTTTTTCCTGACTTTTTTACTCATTTCCCCTTTTTGCTGGGGCGTTGCTGGCTGCTGTGCTCTATCATCAGAAGGATAGCTTAGGCAGTTTTCTTTCGGGAAGTACCCACCTTCTGGGCCTTAAGAGCCAAATCCAATTTGAAACATGCACCCAAATGAAAGGAGAAAGCAGGTCGATGTCCTCTGACAGTCAGCTCTATCCAAACCCAGGAGCTCCCCTGGAATGAAAATGAAGTATGGAAAAGAGAAGGAGCAGGCCGGAGAGCAGGAACAAGGCAGAAAGAACTTCCAGGACTTCAATTAGATTAATTGTTCCTCTCACAAGAAAGTAAAACAAAGCAGCGGAGAGAGGGAAGCCCATTTATTCCAAATGCAAATGGCCAAGAGGAAATGTCAAAAATACATCGGAGAGTGAGAGGCTGAGAAAACCAGATGTGTCTTTCTAAACACAAAAATTAATGAGAGAGAGAGAGAAATGGGGAGTGGAGGGGAAAACGAGGAGGGATGGAGAATTAAGGACAAGGTTAAGTAGATGTGGCTTAATCCCAACGGAGCCTCTCTGACATTTGGCACTGGGGGAAACAGACCCCAGAAAGACTTTTTTTCTAACCTTCCTGACCTTTTAAGTTCAAGCCAGAAGCATGAGACGGGGGAGTGAGGAGAAAAACTGGAAGCGATTTAGTGAGGATGATAACCTAGAAGACACCCTGTAAGTCACAGGCCTCTCCTGCTCCCACTGCAGCAAGGGGCAATGTCTCGTCCCTTCCCGGTCAGAGGCTCCAGTGACCTTCAGTTCTCGCCCTCTCTGGGGCTGAGTCCTGAGGGGATGAGGTACGCTGCAGCCCAAAGCAGGGCAGGGGCGCGTTTTCCTGGCCTTTCATCCTTCCCGACGTGCTCTAAGCCCTGCTCCCCAGCTTTTCCTACCCAAAGCCATTCCTTCTCCCTCTGTCACTATGAATACACACAAGATGACCTCTTAGCAATTTCCCTGGGAGACTTGCTGGCATAAGCATAACAGCATTTGGCCCTCAGTCCGGAGAGGTGCTTAGTCAAATTTCTCTGAGCTCAGACCCAAGCTCTCTGTGCATTATGCTTTGGTTTGTGCCAACTTTCTGCAGCCCAACCAGAGGAACCAGGATCCCAGATACCTTATAAAGAAGCTCTTCTGACAGAATTTCTTGCTAAAGTTCACTGCCAGGGAATCAGAAACCTTGAGATTCTGAGCAAATGTATGTAAATGCCCATGGTGGGCACTGAACTTAGACAGCGAGGAGCTGATGAGTTACCCTCTGTCACCCACTGCGTCAGGAGAGGGTCTGGGATGAGAAACTCCACCTTATGACTCTTTATCACATGAGGCATCCAGCCGGGAAACCCTCTGGTTTTCAACACAGACTACCTCTTGTTAGGAGAAAACCATTATGAAGGTGCAAAGTAGTCCTAGGAGGATAATAATGACATGAATTCACTGAGCCTCGCAGTCTAGGACTAGTTCAAGGGGACCCTCGTTTCTTCCTCGAGGAGGAGCTGGCCCAGACCTGGCCTGCTCTAAAATGCGGGCGAGGTACCTGTCCCGCCAGCCGGCCCCTTTATTAGTGTTTTAGTACTCACAATGCCTTCATCACAAGGCCTGCTCAGACAATTTATTAATCATATGGGAGCACTGAACACTTATCAGAGCAACAGCATGCTTAGGTGCTCATTTGGAGTGGAATGTGATCGTTGGCACATTCTTTTCTGCACAGAAAACTCTCACTTTTGTTTCAATGGCGAAAGACTTTAAGGCAGAGCTCAGCAGACGGTACAAAGCGCATCTGCATTCTTGGCATGACAATGCTGCCTGCTTCCCAACCTCAACTCACAGGGACCTCGATGTTAACATGGCATTTGTAAACTCTCACAACTGTCTAAATGTCCACTTGGTAGCTCCTAAGCCACACGTCTCCAAGGTGGCAGAGCCAATGTTGTAAGACCACCTGAGTCACCTCAGGTGACTGACTTAACCTCTCTGTGCTTCGATTTTCTCTTTGGCAAAATGGAGATCATAATGGCACCAACTTCCCAGGGCCATTGTGAGAAGTGGATGGATTAATATTTGTAAAGCAATTAGAACAGTGCTTGTTAAACAAATCCATAACGCCAACTTCGAGGCTATAACCTGTGCAGCACAGATATCAAGAATCAATATGAGTCTTCGATCTACTCATATAAGACTCAGATTTTTTACTCTTTTTGTATAAAGAACCCAGCTGCCACTTTATAAAATAACACACAGATCCTTCCCTACCGGATGCAGAGGAAGTCCCCATTTGAGGATCCGGCTACTATCTCATTAAGGAAGCTGGTGGGGTTTCTACTTGTGGTAGCTGTGGAAATGGGGAGATCTCCAAGGAGAAGGTAAATCCCAAAGTCTACCCCCGCTCCCACGTGGAAATTCTCCTCCACTGCCAGCATTACAGACACGGTGCTATTCCTTACACCCTTCGCTCAAGAAGGCTCTTTCCACAATATTGTGGGGTCAACTACACCTTTATTTCTCTTTTGAAAGAGAATGTCACCTTGAGGTTTCTCTCTGGGGCCAGGGTCCACCGCTGGTTAGCAGCAGGACCTGGGGTGAGAAGTGCTGCCTTTCGAGGACAGAAGTGACAAGAGCATGGGGCGGGGTGGGGATTATGTGTCTCATGGTTAGGGTCCTACTGTTTGGTCCCCTATACACCGTGGGGTCCCACCAGCATGGTGCTTACTTGCAGTCGTGCTTCTCAATTTCGAAGTGAGGGTTGAAGTTGAGGACAATCTTCTGGTTGGGTTCAGGGGCGTAGACGATCCACTCACAGTTCTGGTGGGAGGGGTAGTCCTGGGGGTAACCGGGAGAGGTGATGTAGCCAGCATCTTTGGAATTCAAACGACCTCCACAGGGTGGGTCTGCAAGAGAAACCAACAACCCAAAGAACTTCAAATATGCTACAGCCTTTATTCCCCCCTCTCCCTGCTTCTCTTCTCTACCAGTGGCTGATGAAAACTCTTTTACAGACCTTTTATGGCAGTCCAGAAGACTAACCTACTTACTCACTCGGTGGAAGAGATTATTTCAGCTCATCCCTCCTCCTACCCACCCGGCTACACACACAGATGCACAAATGAAAGTATTCCAGAACATGGTCATAAATATTCCCAATTACATGGTCTGCGATTAAAAAAAAACAAGGCTGCAAACTGAACATGCCTCCCTGTCTTTTCCTGTCTCCCCTCCTTGGCCCATGTTCTTCTCCTCATTCAAACCTCCCATCTCTATCTTTATCTCGTAAATCCCTCACATTTCATTCGGTGTCTCCCAGCGGGGCCCAGGCAGCAGCAGTGAGGCTCCGGGAACTGACAATAGCGGTTTTGTGGTGCCGACCCACAAGCCAGCCTGGTAACAATTACACGTGGTGCAGAGGAAGCACTTTCAGCTTTGGGCCAGAACAGGCCCTGGAGGGTGATTTCAGCTTTTTTTTTTTCTTTTTAAGAAAGAAAAAACAAAACCCCCAAACATTTAATTCCACATATACCGCAAATTTGATTTATTATTTCATTATACACTGAGTGGAAAAATCTGTATTAGAGAATCCACTGGCTCCGACCTCAGATTTTCCACAAAGGTGCTTTGTGCTGAACGGACGTCTGTGTGTTTTCTGTGCTGTCTGCCCACTGTCCCCTCTGCCTGGTCCCCACCACCAGAGTGTGCTGCTGCATTGTCCAGCCGTCCCCAGCCCTGTGAGGAGCGGGCGCCCCTCCCCGGCAGTGCCTGGCTGCAGGTAAACAGCTTCCTGCGGCCAAGGAGGGAAGGCAGCCATCTTCAAAGGCAGAAAAGGTGGGTGATGACATTTGAAGAATCTCATCTATTCAGGAGTGAAGTTCTGCAATACCAGCAGGGGTTGCTGGGAAATGGGGAGGGGGTTGTTAAATACCACAGTAGGACAGACGACAGAAAGGCACAAGAGACATGGAAATATTCAGAAGCCTCTTGGAGACCTTCCTGAGACTGGTATGTCTCTTAGCATCAATCACGATTTAATATCGCCATCTGCGTGGAGCAGCACGGGCCCGTGAATTATGTATTACGACTCAGCAGCCACCCTCCAGGATGGGCCTTTCTCCTGTGCTCACTCTTTGAGGGAACAGGTCATGCATTTTTTAACTCTACAGGTGCACTTTACTATTCCCCACGTCTGTTGGCATTACTGTTTCCCAGACCTCTGCTTTAGATTACCAGCCTGACAGGCATTAAATGCATAAAAGATGGGCACACTGCACAATGGTGTTTGGGACACAAATCCACACAAGTAGCCTTTTCAGCATTAAGCTTCCAAGAGCTCAAACTGTGCCGGGTTGAACTGCCCAGAATCTAATGGATTCGGGTCCATTTCCTACTGGGTGAAAACAAAAGCAGCCATTTCCTCGGGCTAGTAGACACCACATCTCCCTCTTCCTAATGACCCTGCACCCTCCCCAGTCTGGGGGGACAATGTGCCCCTCCCTCCCAGAGGATGAGGCCAGCAATGAGGCCTTTGCAGCCAATGCCACAGGCTTTCCAGGTGTCCACACCACTCACCCACGCTGTGCACCCAGCATCTTCCCACCAGGCAAATTACGGCCCATTGGTCTTGGCTCATGCATGTGAAATGGGGCTGGGAGTGGCCCTCTGAGAAGGCAGAGGTGTAGGGACACAGATCACCAGCTGCTCTTACCAGGCTAGCAGACAAGAGGATTTTCTACTGTGTCTAGCTCCTCTGCCAGCTATTTTGCAGAAAACTGCAGCCCTGCCACCAACTCACCCCAAACCACACTTTTTTCCTTGGAACTCATCAGAGGAAATCTGAGCCGAGCTCCTGTTTAATAACCGTTAGTTTCCACGTCATCCACACTCTCTTCTGCCTTCCTCCACCAGTTCCCTGCTTCTCTCCAATTACTCTCAGAAAAAGAACTTCTCCCTTTCAATTCCCCACACCCCAAGTCTAAGCTTTTAGTAATTAGACCAGGCACACAGATCAGCAGTAAAGACAGGAAACTTCCTCCCAGTAAGGTTTCATTTCTCATGTACACTAGGAATGATCATTTCCCCACTACCAAAAAAAAAAAAAAAAAATTAAACTATATATATCCCACAGCTGATAGACTGTACTTTCTGCTGTTAAACCAAAAGAAAAAGGGATCATCCACTTCTTTTTTCTGTACTTTCGTAACTTAAAGAAAATCAAGGCACTTAATTGAAATATCTGTGAACTCATTAAAACATCTGCTTTGGCTGTGTGTGGTTAACCTTTTCAATACCCAAACATTGATAAACTCGCATTCTTGTTTGGATTGCATTCACACTCAGAAACACACACAAACACAGATATTGAACATACATCAATTACATACACATATCAGTAGTTCACACTTTAGTCCTGTATACACGTTCACACCTTCTCATAAAATATCACACATCATTTGCACAGACATATATCCACAAAGATAAATACTATAATTTCTGTCTCTATTTTTCTTGGAAAAAAAATATATGAAATATATTAGTAAAAATGGTAAAGAAAACACACACACTCCTTCTACATCTCTTGATAACTGCTCTTTCATTTATAGGGTTGGGGACCCTCCATTTCTAAATACAAACATGCCCCAATAGAAACTGGCTAGCATTTCTTCTGAAGAGCTATGCCACCCATTACTTTGTAGGCCTTTATTGTGTTCCAAAACGAACTTCATAAATGGTTTCTGTCCTGTTTCAGAGGAGTAGAGCCAAGCCAAAAAAGAGTTGAACTCAAGGGCAAACCCCTTAAGGCCAATCTCCTTATACAGAGGGGAAATTGACCCGGTTGAAGTTTGAGCTACTGAGCCTGTTTGGTGAGTTGACAAGGGACTTCATTCTCCAACTATTTAGTGAATACCTTTCACCTGGGGCAAATTCATTTCCCAAAGAGAAGCAGCAAAACCCAGGCTTGGACTGTTCAGAGCAGTTTTGTCCTTCATCTGGGAGGGAAGCCTAAGGGATAGGCCAGGCCAGGTCAGATAAAGACCTCCGAGGCCCAAGGATGAAAGGATTGAAGTGACAGCCCTAGATGTAATTTGAAATAAAGAGAACACTAAATTTTAAAGTCACCAAGTTCTGCTTTTCCCCCCTTCATGAATACTTAGGTGCTTTAATTTTAAATATACACTATCAGATCGTTCCAAAAATCTTTCTGCCTCTCTCTCTTTTCCCCCCTCTTTCTTGGGTGTCTTTGCTTTGCTGGCAGCCTAAGCACCATCTGATGCTGCCTAGGGGTGGTGTAGCCTTGGATAAGGTAAAGGGATTTTGTATCCATTCACCTAGGAACTCACTCTCCTACAGAACCCAAATTAAGACAGAATGCTGGTTCCCTGGTAATACTTGATTTGTAGGAAATATTAAGGGGTAAAGAAAGATCTTCTAAAAATCTGTCTGCCTTCTAGGAAAATTTAATTGGAGTTGTTTTAAAAGAACACTGTATGGCCTGAACTTGACAATATTTGCTAAAATCTGAAGCCTGACTGTAGTGAGGTCTTTTAAATAATCAGAATTGCAATGCCTTACTTCATGACAGCCCAAAGAACAATCAGATCTCTTGGTTTAGTTGAACTGAAGGAGAAAATCCTTGGCAAAAACAAGGAAATGTGGTGACTGACTGGATGTGGGATTAGAGGGTCCAGTTGTTGTCAAAGGTGCTTCTGGGGAAAGTGACCAGGTTACCAGGAAAGGAAGGGTTTGACATTAGCAAAAAGATGGGAGGTAGTGCCTGGTTCTTAACTCAGTGTGACCTTTCTGGATCTCAGCTTCATAAACTGCAATTCAATGAGTGGATTAAATTAGGTGTATAGCTTTCAAAAATTTTTTTAGAAGGGTACTTTTTGTTTTCCCTTGAACAAAACTCTACCCAGACCCCAATGTCCCAAGCAGATAAAAGTGGAGCTCCCGTTGGATGCTGGGAGGGTGGTAACCAGAAAGGTAGAGTCTGGACCTCCCAGTCCTGTTCTCATCTCTCAGGGGGCTTCTCTGCGAGCTCACAGGGCTTCCTGGAACATGAGCTGAAACCCACTAAACTGGATCTCGGTTCCCTTGTTACTTTCAAATGTCAGGAAAAGAGAGAGTGGGCATCTATGTCTCTTATATGCGTACCTGAGGGCACTTGGTGGAGAAAAGCAGTTGGTCTCATTTTCCTTGAAAATAATATACTTTATTTACTTAATAATTTATTCTTTATCCATAGCATAATCTCATCCTGTCCCTATTTCCACAGCATTGTTTTCATTTATTATTAGTATTAAGGCAAAGAAGAAACTCTTTCCTCCACTTAAAAAGAAAGAAGGTTGTTACCTTGCCACTTACTCCACCAGGGCAGTTTACTGGAAATAGCATTGGACCAGGATTCAGAAGCCCAGTCCTCCAGTCTGGTCTTGCCATTGGCAAGCTGTGTGACCCTGGGTAAGTTAGTAAACAGCTTTGAGCCTTTTGTTTTCTCATCTAATAAATGTGGGGGGAGATTCTAAAGGTCAGTTCCAGTTCTAAAATTCAAAGCCCATACAACCCATAGATTGAGGCAAAAATTCAAAAGATTCTCTACCCTCCTAAACAATAAGACATTTATTCAAGGTGTTACCCCTGCTTTATTGCTTGGTAAGCTTGAAACATAACTTCAGGATTCTTCAGATGAACATGTCTGTCTTGCATTATGGAGAGTTCAAATGTCTCTTTTAATCACATTAGCTCTACTGACATGAGTTTCTTTTCTTAACCGAGTCTGTGGCTACGTATTTATAAATATTATGGATACACAGTTCTGCATGTGAGCATGACAACAACAGGGATGCATGAAAAGAAAGACCAAAAAGGAGTTTCTTCAAATCCCTTACCCTAAGTCCTTTGC